GTTTTTTAGAATTGTGAAAATTCTTCTTTTGTTTTAGCCCGAAAGACTTTATTTACTTGAAAAGGTGTTCAAGCCAAAAATTCGATCACCTCATGACTTAAATAAAGTATTAGAAATATTAATTGGTGATTACATGAACCAAATCTATAATACACTTCATGAACAAACAACAAACCCTAAAAATATTAATGATAGTAGTGAAATGTTAGAATATGTTTATCGTGATCTGTTTTTATGGGCATTATTAACTCATCGTATTGAAATGGCTAAATTATTTCTAACAAATATGAAAACTCGAATATGTGCAGCATTAATTGTATCAAAAATTTTAAAAACATATCAATCTTATGCATCGGATAACGATTCTAAAGGGATATTAAAAACTGAAGCGGATGATTTTGAATCATACGCAATTGAATGTGTGCGATGTTGCTATAATTATGATAAATTAAAAGCATGTGAAATAATCATTAGACAAATAAAATTCTTTGGTTCTGTTACATGTTTACAAGTACATGTCATAATTAAAGTATTGTTGTCGTCATTTTTTCTTCTTTTTCATTTATTTCAGGTTGCTATTGCTGCCGATGATAAAGCATTTGTTCACGAAGAGACATGCCATCTTCTTCTCACAAACATTTGGTTTGACAAGATCGATCCAGTACAAACGTCAACGAAGGAGATAATTAAAATTTTTATTAGTCTTCTAACATTGGGTATGATGGCTCATTCATTAGTTTTATTTCGCACAGTAGAAACTAGTGATAGTAAAGTTTCTCAACCAAGTTTGAAGGTAAATGAAATAAGTATAATTTTGCTTGTGAACGTGAGAAAAACAGGATCCCATATCTAGCAGCTAATCATAGAAAAGTAACGGAAAACGATCAAGGTATTAGAATATGAAAAATTTATGCGATATGACATGATATATAGTCACGGAATACTGTAACTTTAACGAAATTGTTGAAATAGAACAAGAAGTACGGAAGAGCTCAGATATTTGAAATAGTGCCAAACTTGTCATGATGAAGCGCCTCTTTCGAAGATAATTACTCATTGATACTTGATCGATCCTCTCACCTCTTCTCAGGCTAAAGTACCTTACACATTTTTCCTACTGCCCCGAAAGACTTTCCAGCAACGCTGTTTGTGTTATAACTTTGTCATTTCAAGAGATGAAAAGTTCAAACTGCTTCTACAAATACTACTCACCAATATGAACATCTTTTGTAGCAAAAGATTTTTCTCCAGTGTTCTGGCTTTTTAAGAAAAATTATATAAAAACGCGATCGTTGATGCTTTTCCCATTGAAATATCTCTATGAAGACAAAATGAAACTTAACAATCTGGATCCCCAATCTCTTGTCTGTCTAATGGTGAAAACCACAGGACTTCAGCTGTTTTCTGAACTGAACAAATGTTCATTGTCCGCTCAAAGCTACAGAAATAAGGAATAAGTTAGTTTAGGGCTTTTCTTGTAAACTCTATAACTTTGCAAAGAAAAGCCATGAAGAGCTGGGAGATGCCGCATTTTAATCAGAAATTTGCGGGCTACAATCATGTATTATTAAGAAAGGTTTTGGGTATCTTTTAGAGTTTCTAAAAAACTGGTTTTCCAGAAAACGGATCTTTCGAGGCCTAACTGCCCGTCTTATGTTGATATTCGGAATCAGCATGGTTGATTACCTATCACCCACTAGGTTTCGTCTCAAAAGCGATTGAACAGTTGGTGGACCTCCCACGTCAGAAATGATTTTTTTTTTCTTTCTCGAAAGTCTTTCCTTTCCGCTTTATAGCAAAAACAAAGAAGAAAGAGTACGCAATAGACTTCTTCATCTTTATGAAAATACGAGCGTTTTATCACTTTTGGTTTATTTTTGGAAGCGACTTCACGAAGAGCCGAAAATTGACGGATTTGTCCACATGTCCACGTCATAGTCGAAAATCCGTTTCTCCCATTGTAAACGAATTTCTACAATTATGATCATTAAGCGAGAAGCGAATGAATGTCTTTTGGTGGCAATGACATTGAACAGATTTATTTTTTGTTTAGCTTTCTAACAGACCAGTGCCTCAGAGCAGGAAGATTGACGTAAGGTAAGACAAATAAACATCAAGACTTCTTGGTTTATAGCGCTAATTTTTGTCAGATATTGTAATATATAGAGATGATATGAGGGTGTGAGGTTATTCCAAATCGTTTTCCATCCAATGGTTAATAGCCAAGGAAGAATGTAATTGTTACACATGCATTATTTCAGTAAATTAACAACTATATATAGTATATTTTAGCTACCGGAAGATCTCTTAGGTAAACTGGGAAAAATACATATTGTACAAGAGAGAGAAAGAGAGAGAAGAATAGAAATGAAAAATACCCATCGAAGAGTGATCAGAAAGAGAAAACATATCATATAAAAGAAGTGTGACTACATATAACAGAAGAACAGAAAGGGAAAATAACCATCGAGTGAAGAGACAATGTATA